CACATGCTCTACCAATGACTAAGTCTACCGACATTAGCCGTCATCACGCGGCTGTCATCACATTCTATCCGTTATTGATTTTGGCTAGCAGCTAGCTATGGTTGTTAAGCAGGTGGACAGTGGGCTAATTTAGACACTTAGGCTGTATGAGACAGGCTACTTAACAAAGACAACTAAAAGCCAGTTATGGCTTGGTAAATGAGGGCAAACAATCCAGTCGAGTAATTGAGGTGTCACCTAGCTGGTGGGGCAGGGGTGGTTCTCTACTGGTCTCGGTGGAACTTCTCGGTGGCCAAATTTGGCCGTTATCATTCCCAGACATTTCAATATAAATTCAGTCTGAAAAGTCAGGAAGAGCAAGGGCTTGAGGCGAAACATACTTTAAATATTGAAATTGAACTTTCAGCGCTCATTAGAACTTTACCCCAAATTACAGGTTAGAGTGAGAATGGTATAGAAATGGTGTCATGTAGAGGTCACAGGTGCAGACGTGCTTCACTCTTAACACAATAAATCACTAAATCAATATGCACAGTAGTCCACGTGGTTGTTTATTTTTTTTTGGACGCCACTTCAGGTGGTGTCATTCCACAGGGAGCGTGGAGAGAAAGGTGCCTCTCACCTGTCTCAACACACAGGCTGCTCCTCCTTCAACAGTTTAACACAGAGGACAATGCACCTGTCCCTCATGCACAGATGTCTTTGTGCACACTCTTTGATTTGGTCACATTTCCAGACCTCTTCCTCTGTGAGCTTCGATGCTCTGCTCTGTTGATTTCGTGACTTTGCTGCGTTTGATCTGTCTGCATCAGCTCTTTGGACCACATCCCTGGTAGGTTCACTGTATTCACGGCTCTGTTTTTTTGACACACTTTGGTTTATATGTAACACTTATTTCCACAATTGAGGTCAGAGTCTGGAATCTCATTATTGGCTGCAGAGGAAGACCTAAATAGAGACATGTTCTGTCTCAACTTATGGGTCAAGACCCAGAAGTGGGTCAGAGACCACAGTGCTTACTCTCAGAACTTTGTTTTTGTACATTGTACATTATTTTAACACATTTTTGTACATTTGTTGAAATATAATGTCATATAATGAAAAATAGACGTCAGGCTCTCATAAAGAAGACCAGGCACTAGTAAAAAATGGAGTGTGAAAGGTCTTATACATTAAGATGATGATGATGCGATAAATGTGTGGCCCGCAGGAGCTTGGAAAGCATTTAGTTAGGTCCACGCAGCTATTTATTCAAGCTTCAATATTTGTAGCTTGATAAATAATATTCATCCATCCATCCATTTTCCTCCGCTTATCTGTTACCGGGTCACAGGGGCAGCAGTCTCTATGACCACCACCCAAATCCCACTGTACCGTACCAACCCCCCTGCAGGTGGTCAGTCCACTGGAAGGTACCAACTGCCCTAACTGGGATTCTAACTCACCCAGGAGGTGAACCCTGGGGTTCTACACCAATGACAGAGACATGGCCTCTGGGACAAAGCGCCACTGAATAAATAATAATCAATTGTAAAAACCTGTGTTAGTCTGTTTTGAAGTAGTTACATCTAAACCAGTGGTCTCCAACCAAGGACTGGTCAGTCAGTACCACCCGTTACTACGGACCAAAAGTAAATTAGTAAAAATGAAGTACATTGTTTCACCGTGTCCCACTGCAGTCCAGTACCAAATGGCCTATGGTCTGGTACTGGTCCGCGGACCAGGGCTTGGGTACCCCTGATCTAAACAGTCTTCCATTTATAATCAGCCATTCAAGGGGAACCGTATTGCTGATGTGGCCCTCGGTGAAAATGAGTTTGACCCCCCTGACCTACAGGCTGTGGACCCTGTATTAAAACCTCTTGTGGTTTTCAACTATTGTAATTTTATTATTGAACTTATAGATATTAAGCCGGTTTGTGAGTAGCACATGACAACGAAGTATTGGTGGCATTAACAGTTGTGTGTTGGATGTGAATGTAGGTCACGGTGTTCTGCTGCTAAAACGTGCCTGTCACCTGCTCACTCTCATTTTTCCTTTTCATTTTGTTTGATATTCAATTTCCAAACGGTATTACTGTTCAATACCTGCCAGGTGAGTTAAAGGGGGAGGAGTCTGTGGGAGAAAACATGTTTGATTACTTTGTCTCCTCTGCATGATTCAGATTAACAACACAGTAGACGTCTGTTGGTCCAAGCATTTGTAGGCCACACCCGTGTGGTGTAGCACTGTGGATCACAGCTCTGGACAGCATGGGTGAAAATAATAGCAAATAACAGGTACGATGAAATGGCTAAACGTAAATGTAACTTAAAAGTACGCAAAGGTACTGAGAGTAACGTCGGTGCTGAAGGTTAGCCAGAATATTCTAAGAACCAAACAAAGAAGAAATGTAACATAAACCAGCTAACAAGCTCATAGGAACCCAACATGTTCATTTACAAATACGTGATCTTTAATATAACTAAAAAAGTTTGGGTTCATCTTAAAGTTTCTGTCTGAAAAACTAGAACGTAGACGTTAGCCAAACATATAGCTAAAGGATAACTACCTTAATGTTAGCCATAATGCTGACCCTATCTCTATGTTCACCAAAATATAGAACGGTGCGATAATATGTCAAACAAGGCTAATGGTTAGCTAAATACCTTAAGGTTAGTTAGACGTGGTATGAATGTACTATGAAGGTCACTAGGCTAAATGCTATCCACATTCAGTGCACAAGGTTAGCAACAGAACAGATAAAGACTAGTCAGTTAGTTCAAAGGAAAAAAAGGACAAATGATATGTTAAACAAGTATTTGTTAAAAAAAAAGCCAGTAAGCCAAATATAAAGATAATCATGTTTAACTTTGTGTCAAAGTAATCATTTCATATTCAGAGAGCAACCCCAAATAAATCCTTTTACTGCCGGGCAGGGAAAAAAGCCCCTGTTAAACAGAGTTGGATTAGTGTCAGGGCAGAGTGGGGGGGGGGGGGGGGGCCGGGGGTGCAGCAATCCTCAGATCGATTTCTGAGGATTTTAGAGTTTAAGTCTGGGATGTGAGCAAATTGTCTCCTTCCAAAATGTATTTGTCAGATAGGTCAGAGCAGCCTTCGAGAATTTCAGCAAATCTTTTTTTTTTTTCTTCACTGCACGTCTCCAGTCATTTACACACTTTACAAGTCAAAATACACTTCACTCTGGACTTCACCTCTGAGCAGAAATGAAGTCTTTGTCCTTGGACAGCTGCAGATGTTTTGGTCTTTTTTTTCTATGGGGCTGCAGCTGTCACGGTCTAAGCTCCACAGCTTTTCCAGTTGCTCATGTCATGCACGTCTGCTCCTCAAACTCAAGTGGAGTCTCGGCACCATGTAAACGGTAGTAATCATCAGTGGCACCTATTGATCTCTGCAGGGTGTAACATTTCCCAGCCGCTGCAAGGTCAGAGGTTGTGGTTGGATGTCTTGTCTTTTGGAAAAAAAACTAGTAAAAAGCTTAAAAACAGGGGTTCACTCAATTAAAGAAATGACTTCTTTTTAAGAACTCTCTTTACAGGTGACCACCGTATGTGGCATCATCGGATCAAAGGAATCAAGGGCATTTTTCCACAGAGAAGTGATGTTTTTAACTCTCACATCGGCATCCACTGAAAAAGTCAGTCACTTTTCGTCAAACTACACAGGAGTTCTTTAGCCACTGCCAGCCTTTGAGACTTTTTTTGTGATTCTAATATTTGATATATTTTGGTTTTTCTTAATTTTTACCCATCAACACTACAGAGGAGCGGCTGATCCTGGGATACAGTGAGCTAAAGATGCTGATTTTCTTCGACGGAGATCGACCGGAGAAACAGTCGCACTTTAAAAAGTGAAATGTGTCGTCATTTGATTAGAGAGTAAATATAGCAATTAATTATTTATTACAATAATATAATTATAGATATTATTTGATTTATTGTATTATATAATTAATATTCAATTATTCATTATATTTTATACCGTCATGTTAATATTTTTAATTATGTTAGTTGCTTTATTTATTTAATTATACAAGATATCTATCCATCACCTCACCTTTACCATCATCCTTGAGCCAGACTTCTTTATAGAAGGACAAACATGACCTGGTTAGCATTAGCCATTAGCTGTATCGTTGTTGTGTATGTGGCTGTCTTTGCAGATATTAATCAGAGGTTTATAGGTTTTTTTGTTTGTTTTTTTCTGTCTCTGCTAAAGCTTTAATATTTTGTTTTGTCTACTTCAGCAGTCATGTCTCCAGGACAGGTGGTCACCCGTGTTTCACACTATTTCCTGGCACAGGTGGTGTCCAGGTGGCGTGCTTGGCGAAGTCAGTACTACCAACTTATATATTTTAGCCGTTGGAAAGGGATTGGTAACCACCAACTACTGTACCATTATAAAGGTCCAGCATGTAGGATTTAGGTGTGTCCTAAAAGTAAAGGTCCACTTTACTCTGCTGTTGTATATCTGCTAATAAAACGCTGCTACATGTTTCACTCTGGGCCTTTTCTTAACCAGATTCACTAACAAACGCTTTCAGCCTTGGCTCAACACTTTGTGGCTGTGGTTGGTGTCATTAGGGCTCAGTAAGACCTGGTACACACTAGTGCTTTATTTTTATTCCTGATATGGACCACGAACACACACACACACACACAGACAGAGGGGTGGGGGATTAGCACCCTGCTAACACGTCATGATGGTTCCCTAGATTTATATTTGACAAAAAATTGTTTTGGGTCAAACAACAATAGAAAGATGAGAAAAACCAAGTTGTTTTTGTGAAGTTTAAATCAACAGATTGTGGTGCAGTGGAAGTCTCTCTGCTGCTAAAAGCTAATGCTACAATCTCTCCATTCCAGGCATCTGGCTCCTGTTGCTTTTCCTGGTCAAAATCTCTTCTTTTACACTTACTTTTTAACCTAACCTAAGGCATAAAACACACCCTTACCCTTCCGTTCTGCAGCTCAAACCTTTTCCTTGTGTTTCCTGGCAGTTTTTTCCTCAGTGAAGGCCATCATCCGAGTCTCAAACCGGGATCGTCCACTGGTGCCAGCTTGCCCAAGTCAGTACTTCATAAACCCACATTTCTAAACCTTCTAAACATTCTGGGGCTGTGTCACTTGAATCCATTGAGCTCCAGAATGAGAATCTTCTGGAACGCTAGTTTTATTTAGCCTTTGTGGTTGGGCAAGCAACTGACAAAACTGCATTCAAAATCATTTTGTTTGCCACGTTTTGAAAGGATGACTTGAAATGATGATCTGTTATATTATTTAAAATCACATTTCATATTTTTGTGTTTCATTTTATTAAATTCATTTACATTAATAGTAAATCTAGTGAATAAAGAAGGGCCGTAGGAAAAGAAAGTTTCTTATTATTTGTACTGAATATCTTTCTTGGATCTCTGTTGATTTTCCTTTATTCAATCTTTAAATCATTGTTCAAATCAACACCTCCTCCTCATCCTCCTCCTCTTCCTCCTCATCTGTCCACACTACACCTTTTCCTATAGCATCATACGCTAACGCTGGAGGGATCTGGTGTCCTATCAACACGCTTCTATATCTGCCCGATCGTTAGAGAGAAACCCAATCAGACCCTTTTTAATTAAAGAGGCCATAATGTTGGGGGGGGAGGGTGAGGGGAGAAGATGGCAGCAGAAGCAAGTAATGAAGGCGAGAGGTCAAGCCAGTCCACTGAAAGACACTTAAATCCCTATCTTATTAACTCTCCGTGATACATGAGCTTCCCCGAGCACTCACTCCCGTTCACACACACACACACACACACACACACACACACACACACAGAGCCGCTTCTTCCGGTGCATCTGTACTGCGAGGGTTGTGTCTGTCCATCGTTAGCTGCAGCGCTGCGTTGGGTTCAGTGTCGTTCGGCTCTTCTCCATGAAACACCTGACATTTCCTCATGTAAATAGGACGAGGCCCAGAGCATTTGACTGACCGGCCTGAAGGACATGACCTTTTCAGGAATAATGGAAAGTTTCTCCTTGTGTCTTTAAATCTGTCTTCAAAAGAAAAGAACAGTCAAGGATGTGGAGGCTTAAAGACCAGCACAAGGCTAAGGTCAGATGAGACCAAACTGTAAACCTTTGGACCAGGGTCTGGGGGCCAACGGAGTAATGTAAAGTTTTTTTTAACGGAACACATTTACCAAAAAGCTGGGATGAAACCAGTGCAGGGACAGTCTCCAACAGAACAGAAACACCATGGAAAAACCAGGGAGATGAAACGTTCAAGCATTTTTAAAGCGCCGCAGGTCATTTTCAGACTCGTTCAAATGGAGACAAATCGTTCTCCCACACAAAACAATTTCAACAGCTCTCTCCTGTTGAGCGATTGCACAGGCAGTACACTAAGACGACACTAAGCCCTGGTACACAGTGAACCGGAACAGGACTGTTCCACACGGGAACGCCGTAGACCTCAAATAAATGGACATTTGGTTTTCTTGCCTTGTGAGGAAAAACATCTCAAACTCGGGCAGACGGCCTTTCCCTGTGATTTCAGCAGTTTCCCTGGTAACCATTACATGTACATTTTTACATAAACTGCCAGTGTGATTTTTTTTTTTCATTTGATGGACTGATTTAATAAGTGAACACGACAGACCTGGCCTGGCTTCAGTTTCTCCCACCGTTGTAAGGTGTCGTCCTATTCTCCTGGAGAATTGGGATTTGATCTTTGTATTTCTGCCTCGCTGCTGTAATCCAAATGATGGGAGCAGGAATCGGTGATTAGGCTAATCATTAGCCACAGTCTGAATGTGCAGCTGCACAGACAATGCCCCAGTGGAGGGTCATATTTCAGATAGTAGAACACCAAATGGCCCCCTGTCCTGCAGGGCAGAGATCTGGTCAGGAGAAGGCACCGGGGGATTCATAAATACTGGCCGCTTCTGCTCGGCCTCTGTGGAGCCAGTTGACGGAGGCTGTGAGGGACAGCAGTGGAGTTTGTTGCTAATGTTGCTGATCCACCTGAGCAGCTCCTCAACGACCCGTGGTCACCGCCGTCAGGTTCTCCTCTTCATGTTAGGGCCCCGTGGTTTGTTCGGATCATTAGTATCTTCACTTACAGTAATGTGCAAAAGTTTTAGGCAGGCGTGTGAAACTCACTTCTTTGCAATATTTTTTTTTTAAGTGGGCAGTGTCCTCTCATACTGCTGTGTTTTGCCAGTCCACTGGTGTTCATCCTGGACAGTGGACTTGATTCTGGTCACAGGAGGTTTACTCCACCCAGAACAGTTCCTGGTTAGAATGGTTAAAATCCTAAAATGATTTTGAAATAAAAATGAAAGCTCTGTGGAGAAGAGGAGTATCTAAACATCAAAAACATAACAGATATAAAAACAAATGTACTGATAATTTAAAATAATAATTAAGAAAACATTTTATATTATTGTGGCCCTTTGTCCCAGAGGCCATGTCTCTGTCATTGGTGTGGAACCCCAGGGTTCACCTCCTGGGTGAGTTAGAATCCCAGTTAGGGCGGTTGGTACCTTCCAGTGGACTGACCACCTGCAGGAAGGTTCAGGGGGGTTGGTACGGTGCAGTGGGATCTGGGTGGTGGTCATGGAGACTGAGGCCCCCGTGACCCGGTAACGGATAAGCGGAAATGGATGGATGGATGGATGGATGGATTTTATATTATTGTTATAAGAATGGGTAAAATAACCCAGTGAGGGACAATGAGCGAGACAGAGTGGAGTGGAAAAAATGGAGCTGGGTTGAGCACTCGGAACTAACTCCATGTTTCCACATATCACAAAATCTTGCAAAAGTTGCTCACTCATAACTTGGAAAACTTGTGTTTCAGGGAGCCCCAGTGTGTTGACATACTGTGCACCCCCTGCTGTACAATGTCCTGTATTGCCTGCAGGGGGCTGTAGATGAAATGTACGATTCTAATTATTATTCATTATTTCTGTTATAGATGATTTCTAATCTATTATTATTATTATTAAAGTTTGGTTACAAGGAGGAAACATCTTTCATGGATTCCACTCCAGGTTCTACGTCTCTTTGTTACTGATGAGGCTGACGTTAGTGAACAGTTTTGGAATCCAGCAAATGATACCAAGGTGTGACAGTGGGAGTCAAGGTGTTGTGTGTATGATTGTAGTTATATGACAATGAATTCTATTGTATTCTATTCTATCCATCCATCCATCCATCCATCCTTCCATCCACCCACCCACCCATCCATCCACCCACCCATCCATCCATCCATCCACCCATCCACCC